TTAAAGCACTTCCAGATCCCAAATCTGACTGGCCAGAACTTGCCAAGTCTGCAGGCAACTGAGTGGTGATGTCTACAGGGTACCCTCCCTTCACGACACCCTCCATCAACACCAGCGCAGCCTCTGCAGGGATTGCTGGAGCTGAGACCTCAGCGGTGACGATGTTTGGCGGAGTCGCACTGCCCGAATTCTCTGAAAGGGAAGCACGAAGAAAATAAGGTCGAGAAAGAGAAAATATTTATCTTTGTTTTAAAGCATCATTTGCTCTACAAATTACACTTAATTCTTGTAACAGCAGTTATTATGACAGTGCAATGGTAACAGTTCATTATAATATTCAATTTTCCCTCAAGTGTTTTGACTCGCAGACATATTTTCTGTTTGCCAAGTATAAATATCCCCAACTGCTTTCTGCTGCTGCTTTTCAGATTGATCAAATAAGATTTAAACATATAATTAATCTTACAAATAAAATGATCTGGATCAGGTGACCCTGAATCCTCCTTTAGTTAGGCTGCTGGGGATTCCCGTGATGCTCTGATTTTTCTTCTTCACTCACATTTTTTCACTCACTATGTGTTTATACACCACTCAACATTCAGTCATTAGTTATCATCGATCTCTGGCTCTCTTCCACAGCAGATCTTTGAAGGCAGTTGATCCATCCAGTCATTTGTCACAACTTTTACATTTAACGTGCAACTTTAAAGGCCATTATAGGGGCAAGTCAACAGATTTTAAAATTATGTAAAAAAGTAATTAAATTCATGTTAAATAATGTTTTCATGTATTCAGTGCTACATGTGTACACTAGCATGACTGCAGTACCTGTAATGGCTCTCTGTGCTAATCGATGGGGCCATGACAATCGGGCAGTCAAACTCTCCTCTTCCTCACCATCAGGACATGGTGGTGGGTCTCCTCCCATCACCAGGCCTAAAGGCACCGCCCCCACCCACTGCTTGGACCGAACACACTGTAGACAGTCCATAATCCAGCGGGCATCCCTCCAGACCACATCCAGACGCTAATGAAACATAAAAAACAGGCAGTAGAGACAGTAATGAGTTTGTCTCAAATTCACTTTCATTATGAAATCTTTACTTTACTTTTTTTAAAATATAATTAAGTCAACTGAAATGTGGATTTGGCAACAGTGGAAGCAAATATAAACCACGTGTCACCGGATCTCACCTGTGAAAGCCCACTGATGTGGTTCAGCCGCTCCCGAGCTTCCTGCACCTCTTTGGTCTCCAGCGCTTCCCGTAGAGCCTGCTGGGCAAGGTGAGTGTCCAGCTCCAGCCTTACCCAGGCCTGACAGTACTGTGAGAGGAAATCCCGTTCATATGTCCAGAAGTGAACTGGGTGACAAGCCAGAGAGGAGAGGAAAGACAAATGACTTCATCAAAGCCAGGAGGAAAAAGCCACAGAATTTATCAGTGCACTCTACTCTAGCTTTAATGAGAGGAGAACAGTGAACTGCATTAAACATTGTGCCTCAGTGTGCTTTCTGCATATCTTTGCAGGGATTTATTTAACATTTAAAACTGTAGTCTCATTTAGACAGTATGTGTCAGTCTAGCTCGCCATTTCTGGGTCCCTTTTCTCATCACTGAAACACTCCGCGCTACCATTGTTAAATAGATCCACTGGATATATAGTTTTCCACTTACCCAGCTCAAAGATCTGCAGAGGCATGGTGAGGCCGGGCTCCTTGGTCCCCACCAGAGGCCAGTAACTGGAGCTGAAGTCCTCACTGGGAGGCAGCAGCAGAAGCATTGACAGGTTATCCCCAAACTGAAGCATCTCCCGGGTGTACACGCCGTACTGATACGCCTGTGAGAAACACAATTATTCAAATACAGATGAGAAACAGAAAATCCTTCCGCTGGATCAAGAGCTAGTGCTGATAAAACAACATAAAGCTGACAAAGAAAATCAGTTTAAAAGGTTATTTCTCTTCATAATAGTCTGACAGAGAATTTCAGGTGTTTCAGGTGAATATGAGGTGGCTGGAAAGTAGTGTTTACCCTGTAGAGGGGGATGTTGAGCTTCGTCAGGAGATGTGTGACTGCTGCTCTCAGAGACCTGACGAATTCCTCCATACTGCTGCTCTCCATCGTGCTCTCGTCCTCAGCGTCCAACAGACTCTGAACACCGCCATTGGCTGCAGTGTAAACATGACTCTGAAGCCACGTCCACTCCTCTCTGCCACACAGTAAAAACACAGTCAACAAAACGGGCATAATAAGTAAGGAGAGAGGTCCAAATACAATCCAGTATCACTGCCTGTTGAAGCCCTAACATTTGTATAGACACTGCACTTGTTTGTGCAGATCATTTAAAATAGTATATCTTTTTCGACGGTTGTTTTCCAGATCAAGTTGTAAAAATAGTGCAATAACCTGATGAACGTCAACATAGTCTATCGAGGGACTGACACAGATATCACCTGGTCAAGTTGCGTTACCTGGTCACGTGCGCGTTGTGCCGAACCCGTGTGTGGCAGAGTAAACTGGGCAACCTCTGAGGCACCAGCACCCTGATCTGTTCCACCGAGCTACACAGTTTCAGGATGCCCACATACAGACCCGGCTGGGCCCACTGGAGGCTGTGCCTGTGAAAGGACAGCTTCTCCTGGAGAACAGAGACAAAGAGATACGGTGCAAAAGAGAGAGAAGTGTTAGGATCTGTTAATAGGACGTAAAGCTTATGAGACTTATTTCCCCCTGTCTCACTATGTGTTGTTAGCTAATTCAGTTTGGGCATCCCAAATTAATTTCAGTGCTTTTTCAGGGTTAGCAGCACAGGAGGTAAAGTATTAGCTCAGTAAAACTCAACGCCCAATGTGCTATTGTTGAAAGCCGCTGCTGGGTGCGACTGTTTTCCTCTCCTCACCTTGAGCTGCTCAGCGAGCATGTCCATGGCGGTGGGCTCGGGCAGCAGAGGCGTTCTGCTGCGGTTCTTTTCCAGGCGTGCCAGAGGCATCCAGTGGAGCGGGGGGTCGGGGGGGCTAGAGCAGACAAGCCAGGGAAAAATGAAATGCAACCACATGGAACCACCAAAGAAAAGGTTGATTCATCAAGAATAGCAAAGCCAGTACCCCACCAACAACCAGCTGACAGGCTGTATAACCCAAAGATATTGTACAGCATGACTTCCAAACATGCCCAGCTTGACACCTAATTACGCTACCACCGACTGCAAGCAAAGGTAATTTTTATTTGTGTGATAGACGTTTTTTTTCCTGGTAAATTCTGAAACTATGATTTCATGACGTGCCAGATGTTTTCAGCAGGTAAAAAGCCTGGACAGCCAGGATAGTTTAGCACTTCTACTATGAAGCCATGCTGTTATAATAAATGCAGTATGTGGTTTATCCTTTACCTGAAAAAGACATAATCTGGACCAGAGCACACTGCACATTCCTCTAAAACCCTTTATATATGGTGCAAACTGTCAATTGCACTGATGCAAACTAATGCCATCAGACATGCAGGCGTTTGATCTGAGTGCTGATGGTGCCTCTGCTCTTTAGTCCAGAGGATGTTTTGTCCTCGTTCTCCAAAAAAGATTTTTACATTTCACCACCTTCACCTGACAGCAGAACAGTTTTTTCGCGTTGTCTCAGTCTATTTTAAATGAGCTTTGTGCCAGAGTAGACAGAGGCATTTCAGAATCATTTTCAAATATGGCTTCTTTTTGCATGATAGAGCTTTAACCTGAATTGTGTGGACGCCAAGTGCGTTCACAGACAGTGATTTATGGGAGTGTTCCTGAGCTTATGCAGTGATTTCCATGACGAATCACATCTGTTTTTCATGCAGTGTTGCCTTAGGGCAGATTTTCAGTCTTGTCCTTTACACACAGAGATTTCTCCATATTCTCTGATAATATACAGAACATAATATGAGATCATCAAAGTCTTTGCATTTCATTTCAGAACATTATTCAGATTTTTTTTCATAATTTCCAGATACAGTTTTTCACAGAATGCTGACTACATTCCCATCTTTACTGAGAAACTCTGCCTCTTTAAGATGCTCTTTTTATACCCAGGCGTGTTACTGACCCGTTACTATTTAACCTAATTAATTGCAAAATGTTCCTCCAACCGTTTCTTTTTACTTTCCCACGCCTGTCAAAATGTCTCAGTTTAAACATATGTTTCCTGTGTCTTCTCACGTATTCAGTATGGGTTTATGGGATTTTCTTGCATTCTGCCCTTATTTACATTTTCCAGGGTTCTAACTTTTCCAAATTGTGTTTTCCCAATTAGTTTAAAGCCCTTTTGGTGCTCTCTGCCCTTTTTCTTTGACCTTTTCTTACCTGGGAGTGTTTGGAAATTCCTTCAGAGTGACTAGCAGTACGTTGCCCTGCCGATCCTTCAGGGGTTCATAGTAGATCTGGCCCAGGTCCACTGTTCCCAGAGAAGACTGACATCAGAGAGGTGGACAAGAGAAACCAAGGATTAAAAAGTATAAGTGTATTGGAGACTAATTCAGCCAAACAGGGGATCTGTGGGCGCAGTTGTGTAGCCAGACAGAGGTAAGCATGGCAAAAATAAGGAAAGGAAGAGGAGGAAGAGATGTAAAGAAGTAATTAAAATAGCAATTAACCCATTTTGGTGCTTCTTATCTTAAAAATAAGCTGCTTAACTTCCTACCTGCAGCTGGGAAACAGCTCTTAAAATGTTGTGTCTGTTCTGAAGGAGGGAGGAGGGAGATGAGTGAGCGGAGGAAAGCCCTTGCTGTAGCCAGGGCACTTGCTGCCATGCACAGGACAGCTACAAGAAAAACAGAACACCCAATTTAAGCAGAAAAATCACACTGAGATTCATTTTCTGTAAATATATTTAATATTTATGAATTGTGATAATTCAATTACTTGTACAGTGAGTCAACAAGCTTGTAATTGTCAGTACACACATATACGTAACAGTTCACCTTGGCAAGCCAAAGGAAGTCTTGGGTGATGGAGGTGGAGCAGCACTGGATCTCCACCAGTGGGATCTGATCTTCGGCTGTGACCAGGATGTTATCCTTGTGGTAGAACACAGTTGCCAAGTACACCCCCCTGACCGGATCAATTTGAGAAAACGCAGATAACGTCAGAAAAAGTGCACACGCTGCTTTCAATTTCACAAGTCACCGCGGACCGCAAAATTACAAGAAACAATAAAAAGCATTGCCTCCGGGGGGAAAGTTTATAGCTGAAAAAGATCAATTTTGTGGCTTGACAGCAATTTATTTTTTGAATCACCCAGTGGATGTTCAAACACTTATTACTGTCAAAGCAACGTATAATCCCTCAAGTAAAGCAAAAGCACAGAGGCTGGTTTCATGGACCAACATGACAATCCAGTAGGAAACATGGTCTCTTATTTTTTAAATTACTCAGGGGTCCAAACACAGTCAACTTCTCTCTGTTCACTACCAAAGTTTTCTTTTTTTTTAACCTTCACTGTGGTTCATATTCATGAACATAACCATGCAGAACGATCTTTTGTACTTTGCTAGCTTCTGATTCTGGTGAGTGTGGTCGACGGATCGCTTGTGGGAGGATGAAGGATTTATCTGTCACCTGCCACTTGCCACAGTCCAGTGATTACAGCCATCGTTCTGTTCAAAAGACCTCTTTACTAACAGCTACAGTGGCTCTAATGTGACTACTGTTCTCTGCAATAACAGTAAGAGATAAGGCTTTTCAACTTTGCAGCCTATGCTGCTCTAATGGGATTGCATTTAATCCATTACTTGTGATACCCTCAGGGCACAGTGGGATAGGTAAGAGAGACTGAGCGCTACCTCTGTAGGAAACGAACAAACTTGGTGGCGGACTGGAACAGTTGTTTGATGCCTCGAGACACTGACAGACGCTTGCTGGGACTCTGGGGCTTCGAGCTCTCTGTGGAGAGGAGGCGAGGAGGATCAGACTGGATGAAATTCATTTTATCTCCCAAAATACATTCACTGTGCACGCACGACACTTGACTGGGTGAAGGCAGTCTCTTTGTATTTAAAGGAGCTGACATCTGTAGCGCATGCTGCTGATATAAATGGTGAGAAGTAGAAATAAAATGTTGTCGAGTATGCACATTAAAGACTTGTGCAAATAATCTGATTTTCTGACTGTTTGCACACATCTTGAACGGAAAACACAGCTACTTTGAACATGTAAACCACCACAGTTAAAGAACACAGAATTAATATTTTCTTTAGATATTAAATACTGGCATGGGACAAAATGTAAGAAAGTCCCTGAACAGGTAGAAACAATAAGCCTAACAACCCCTCAGATGGTAAATGGTCTGTATTTGTATAGCGCTTTACTAGTCCCTAAGGACCCCAAAGCGCTTTACACATCCAGTCATCCACCCATTCACACACTGGTGATGGCAAGCTA